CAAATTATGAATGTTTACTAGATTACTTTGCTTTCATTTTATTACTTGCATGAACTATGTAAATCTCAATATTGCATATTATATTCTTATTTATTACAAGAAAAAAAAATATTATACAACATTTTGTCAGCCCATCATATATCCAACTAATATATCAAATTTGTAAGAATCTACTCATTACCTTAATATCTTACTTCCATCAATAATGAAATAACTTGGGAGATAAAAGGAGTTAAGGGATAAAAATATAACTGAGAAGATTATTGAGAGAAATGCAATAAGTAGAAAAGGAGTATTTGTTAAATGCAATAATTGTAGAGTATGTGGTTATAACAAAATTACTTGCAAAGTTAAACCCTACTGGAATAAAGGTACCAACTACTCATACTCAAACTTAAAAGACTTCTTATATTCCAATTAATAATGATAATAAAGAAGATGTGTACATGACTAACTAACATATTTGAAATTATATTTTGTGAGGACAAGTATTTTGTATGACCTACGTTTTTATATTTTTGGTTGGATAATAAATTTTGTGGAACTTGTATTTTGTTCCTTTAGTTTTTCATTATGAACTCATTATATTTTTTATTGGTATATTTTAATCAATGTTCATTTTCAATTGTCATTATATTTTTTCTAACATCCATATTTTGTGATAGAAAATATGTTAAAAAAAATTTCCATTAAAAATAGAACATATTTTGACATTTATATTCTAAGATAGAACATTATCTCTTAATCAAAATACTAATATAGAAATTACATCCCTAGCAACCCTTATACAATTCATAAGACAATGATTTTCTGCTAAATTTTGTCTATAACAACACCATAACTAACACATGAACCACTACATTAATACTAAAAATATAAAAATAATAATAATATTTTTTTGTTAATTTTGAGTAAGTTTTGAAGATGTAAAATTTTTCTTGTTTGTCTCAATAATGCAATTTCATTATCTTTAATTTCATCATCTACCTCCCAGTTGAAAAATTCACAACTCTAATCAAACTAAAAAATAAAAATAAAAATAAATTAGTAATACAAAAATAAAAAATTTATTTATACACAAAAATAAAATCCCATTATTTATCCTTAAAAAATTATTTCATAGTTTCAAAATTCCTAAAAATCAGTTCCTATATTTATTGTTATTATTACCATGTGATAAATATTCTTCAAATCATAATGACAAAATAGATATTGAGCACTTCAGAGAACACATGATTATAACTTTTTGAATAATTTTTTAAATAAAAAATTTTAAGTTTGACTACTTAACTTTGTTTAGACTATTCTAAATGCTACATGAGATGTTTTTGTTATATAATATATATAACAGATTTAATGGAAAGAACAAATAAAAAAAAATTTGATAGATTAAAATGAAAATAAAAAAAATGACTAAATCGAAACTTATTCTAAAAGTAAAAGATGAAAATATTAATTTTATCTAATTTTTATATAAATATTTTATTATGATTTACTTCAAGTTATAATAATATTCAAAAAGATTGAAGTCAACAAACAATAACTTCTATTAATAATTAATAATGTTATATTAGATAGAATTAAAAGTAAAAAGTTTTAGTAATAGAAGTTAATCCAAGTAACAAATAACTTAATATCGCTTAAGTAAGGTCTTAGGTTCAAGTCCTCAGTGGTATGCTCATTCACCACATTTAAGTACACAACCCAGATCAAATCTGAATTAGAATGGATGAGAAAAAAAAATAACAATTTTTATATAGAAAAAATATGATTTTTAAAGCATAAGAATAGTTTATAGTTGAGTAGTAACTATGAGAAATAAATGCATATTTTAATTTTAATTTATTAAACAAATTTTAGTCTGATCGCTTTTTACAATAGCCTATACCTCATTTATCAAGTTAAAAAAAAAAAGCTTACTTGATATTTAACTCTCATGAAGCAAATAAATTTAGCTGATTAAGTAAAAAAAAAAAAAAAGAAAACCATTCATAAGAATAAAAAATAAAATTATTGTCTAAAGTTTAAATAACTATTTTAACGATGACTAAGTGAACATTGTCTATTTATTTTGGACTAAAACTATTACGTAAATAGTATAAATAATAATAATTTTTGAGACATTAGATAATAAACCTCAACACACTAACGACGTGATCTATAACTTAAGCATAATTTAAAAAATATTGACAAACATGAATAAACAAAGGTTTAATATTACACTTTTTAAAAAGTATGAATAATTGATATATTTTAGTTCTTAAACCTTCAAATCATGTAGTAATATTTAAATTTTAAAAAAAAAGTATATTTGGACACACATTATAGATATTATATACTCATTTAAAACACAGAAGTTATTATAAGCAAGATACGTAAACGCGAAATTAATTACACACAGCATGACGTTTGAAGAAATAATGATAATGTAATATGTGTGTAATGTAGAATCTTTGAAATTATATTCAAAAGGAAAGACACCAGTTGGTGGTTATATAAATATGTGGAGATCATAAATTGTCTAAATAATTAAAAAGTAAGTATTTTAATTATAAATAATAAATATTCTGTATATTAAATAAATTAAATCAAAGAGGTAAAAAATTTAAATATATATATATATATATAATTTAAATTAAGATTGAATTCAAAAGGTGTTAAATGCTCGATGCATTCAAAGTTACATAAGGGGGAAAAAAACTAGCCTCTAAAAACACTCACTTAAGATGATTATTAAAAATATTCTTATTTAAAATTAAAAATTAGAATTCATAAATTCTATATAAAAGTTGATTAACTTTCCAATGGTTTGAAATTAACTTTGATGGATTTAAATTTTAAAATTAAATCTTATGCGTTTAGAGATGGATTTACATTATATTTTCGGTCATCTCAAAAGTCACATGGCTTATATTCTTTTTAGGTTTTAATTTTTTAACAATTATGAATTAATAATAATTTTAAATTTAATAGATAATATTATGTATAACATATACTATATTTATATTTTAAAATATACATTATAAAATATACCTTAGTTTAATTTTATATTTGTTTAATTTAACTATATAGAATATTAAAAATAAATAGACCATGTTCACAAACTCAAGTTGACTCAGTCTCATCTAATATGTTACTGAATTTTTAATTGGGCTAAAAATTGAGTTCAAGTTAATGATCTTATCAAAATTTAGAATCAAACAAATACTAACATAAACTTGTCCAAAATTAAGAAATTTGAGCCTAATTCACTCTCAAAAGCTTTTCAAAAGCTAATAAGAAGAAGACTATCGAGGAGGAAGACTCCCTAATCCCTTATAAGAGTATCATAGCTCTATTTCTAACCCTTAACACAAAGTCATTCCATAAATGAACCTAGCACTGCATGAATGTTTTTGATTTTGCACACAAATAGGCTTCACATAGGACAGATGAAGTGAATGAAGTACGAGTGGCAAAGGAAGCATATCTGCGTTGTGTTTGCCAATGAGAGACATTTGAAATGGGTCGGTTCAAACTTTTGCACTTGTTTTAAATTTGTTGTTTTTTTTTTTTTTTTTTGTTGATTGTAGTTTTACAAGGGATCAGTATCTTTAAGCTGATATTGTGCCTTTTTTTTCCAATCATTTTCACTATTTTAAGCATACTGAAAGATTGAAAATTTTCAATTCTATGTTTTTTGGGCCTAACCCAATCTAGTTAAATTTTTGTTAACCCAATCTGATTTTTTTAATGATTATTTATATTATAATCATTTGAACTAAATCATAATTTTGGAGAGAAACTAATAGAAAACTAGTTAACAATAACATCTTGAATTTAGACTTGAAAAAAATGGAAGTATAGTTTTTTTTTTTAATTTTTAATCCATAATAATTAAAGCAAAAATTTTTCATATTTTAAAAGAAGCGAGTCCATATGCGTCGAGAGTCCAAATGAGTTGGACTAACCCCAACGGATAGTCCAAATTTTTGCACAAGCCGGGAGCTGGGCTGGGTCGAACCCTTAATATGTTTTAAAACATTTAATGTTTACTGTTTTTCAATTATTAAATAATTACTAATAAAAACTTTATTGACAAAAAATTCATTAATGAAGCATACAAACACAACTCATATTCAATTCAGGTCCCAACCATTATCCAAAAGAAGTTTTAGATGACTTGTTTTGAATTTAATTTGTTTTGCAATATTTTTGTATTTTTTTTCAAATTACACTTCATTAACATAATTAAAACATTAAGGAAAGAAAAATTCTCCTCCATCACTCCTATATCGTCTTCAACACTACACCAAATCGCAAACGGAATATGACCTTATTAATTTATAAAGGTTGGAATTCGACTATTGCAACATGGAATGCCGATTGATGTAGCGTCAATCACAATTGGACTTGTCAAAAACGTAACCGGCATTGAAAATGCTACCACCGTGATCTTGGTTTGTAATGCCATGAACAAAGCTATATTATAAACTATTCCCATATATATACATACATATATTGAGATCAATGAAGGGAAGGGTAGAGTTGGTTGTCTTTTTGCTTATCCACACGTTGGACGCAATGTAATATAATTACTGAAACCCAACAAGACATTCTAGAAACTTAATGACAAAAATCCCTTCAAATAGAGACATGTCACTTCTTTTATTCTTGGAATGTTTGGTACTTCCGAGCAGAGGTTGAAGGGGACGCGGGAGTCACTTTTGGATAGATGTTTATTGTTGGAGAAAGAGGTGAAAAAGTAATGGCGAAATGTATGTATACAAAATAAGAGAGAGAATTTTCACAACAGTGCTGAACAGTTTTTGATTTTGACACGGTCTATAATCAATAAAGCCCAGAACCAAATTTCAAGACCATATATCTTTTCTGCAGAGAAAAGCAATCCGTAAACAACCAAACGAAGAAGTAAACAAGCAAGTTTTCATGACATGATATATAAATATAGTCTAGTACACTACATTAACTGCCACATCTTCCACTGATTCCATCACATCTTATTTATTACGGCGCTCCACATTGACGTCCCCTTCTTCATCAAACCGTCCCACATCGTTGAATGTCTGACCCGTCATCTGATCCGCCGCTTTCAGCGTTTCCGCCACCGCCCCCGGCCGACTCTCTTCCACTTTCAAGACAACTTTATCTCCACCCTTTGCATCGTCATCCCCGTATCCTTTACCTTGCATTCTCAGTTCTTCCATTTTCCTCCTAGTAGCTTCTTCACCTGCTCCACCCACATTCTCCTGCATCCATATCCACATCATCAACAATTAATTAGTCATACAAGTTAACACTACCCATTACCCACATAATTTTATAATTTCTTAGTAATTTTTGACTAATAAGAACATGTGTTAGTATTGTTCCTATTACACACAAATGCACCCGGGTAAAATATTGTACAAAAAATTATGTAAATTTTTATACATAAACTCACAAATTAAAGGTGATACCTTGGGGTTCTCCTTTGCCTTTGCAGTTTTCTGCTTGGCTGCCTCAGTAGTCTCTGCAGCCTTGTCCTTAGCCGCATCCTTCAGCTCAGTAGCCTTGTTCTTCGCAGCCTCAGTGGCCTCTGCAGTTTTGTTCTTCGTTGCTTCCGCAGTCTCTGAAGCCTTATCTTTGGTTTCGTCTTTCTTGGCACCCAAGTAACCCATAGCCCTTTTAGCCGCATCAGCAGCTGAATCCTTTAACTCTCCAAGCTTCCCCATCGTAGCATCCTTCCCTTCTTTTGTCTTCTCAGCAGTGTAATCCTTATACTCACCCATCTTGTTCATTGTAGCGTCCTTTCCCTCCTTTGCTTTCTCAGCTGCATAGTCCTTGTACTCTCCACCCTTCTCCATTGTCTTGTCCTTAGCTTCCTTAGCCTTCTGAGACGCGTAATCAGTGTACTCTCCCGCTTTTTTCTTTGTTGCATCTTTTGTTTCCTTGGCCTTCTGAGACGCGTAGTCAGTGTATTCTCCAACCTTTGAACCTGCTTGGTCTTTGGCTTCCTTGGCCTTTCCTGTGGCAGAATCATAGATTCCAGGAGACTTGTTTGCTGATATGTCTCTCACTTCCCCAGTTCCTACACAATCATTATCAACATTGACATGATGAACAACCTCTGTAGTACACGAATCCGCAGGTTCCTTTTTGCCAACAACAGCTTCCTTAGCATTCTCGTAGGTGTCTTGCACGGCCCTTAGGACCGACCCAATTACACCGCGCTTCTGTTGGTCCAGTTGTTGTTGGTCCTCAGCTCCCAAATTACGCTCTCTTTCTCTGTTAACTTCCTCAAGATCCCTTGCAGCAAGTTTTGCTGCTGCTTCAGCTCGTTCCTGCTGTGGTTGCCTTGATGCCATTGAAGTTAATGTGCCTGTTTAAACAGCTCCCGATTCTGATTCACTAAAGTGTAATTGATGTATAGAGGTTGGTTTTGAGTTTGTTATGAGAAGAGGGTTTGATATATAGTATTATATATATATGAGTGGATGAACTGGGGAATGGGTTAAGGAAAGAGTTAGCTGAGTGAGTAAAACGTGGGTGTATAAGGAAAGCACCACGTGGCGAGAGGGGGGCGGTGGATGGACATTTGGAATGCATGCTTTGGAGGTGTGACACGTTATGATGAGATGCTTGTTGGTGGTGACATGTATCTTATATTGAAAGCATTTAATGTAAACATATCTGAATGAGTGTTTGTTGGGGGAGAAGTAGAGAAAGTGCGTAGGAGTAAGAAATGGTCTTCAACTCTGACTTGTGATGACAGGTCGGTTACTCGCACGGTCCCATAGAAACCTGACATGCACGATGAATGCTGTATGGTAAACTCAATCGTGGCATGTTAATATGAGAATGAGTAACCAAATCAAACTCAAACCATTCTTCTCACCTGTTCATCCATCTTTGTTTGATTGTGTATCGCATGTGTTGGCTATTCTTTATGAGAAATTCTCAGATGGTTAGGAATTTCTTTTAACTATGTATTCAGTACTATAATACGTAGAAAGAGCTTTTTTTTTCCGTGCTTTTCCGTTTGACTGGGTCAAAAGTATTTTATATGGTTTGTTTAATTTTTATTTTACGAACTAAGTACTTCTGTCTTAAATAGATTAATAAGATTTTATTTATTAAAAGTTAATATAATATGTTAATATTATTAATCTATTTAAAATTAAGTTAGTAGTGAATAACTTAGATAAACCTTTTCGTAGTTATAGTAAAATATACACTCTTCACAGTGGACAACCTGGTAATTATCATCTCCCTAAAATTAGTTATGCCTTCCCATACAACTGCGGGATCATGTCTACAATAGACATTTATTGTATGCGTGTAAAACTTTTCGAGAAAAAAATAATTCTAAATATTTTTTATTTTATAAGTCATCTTATTTATTAAAATAATAATAATAAATATATTATATTTAAAATAATATTATTTTTGTATAATATTTATTTTATAAAAATAGTAGAAAAAATACTCAGAAGATTAAAGTAGAAAGACAGAGTAAAGCTATTTCAGTAATGATACTTTGAAAGAAATTGTAAAAGTTTTTATAATTTAAGAGAGAAATAAAAATCAAATAAAATTTATGATGGGATAAAAATAAAAAATATATAAATTATAAATTTTATTAAAAAATGTTATATATGTGTGTATGGTTACTCAATTTTTTATTCATTGTTGACCAAGACAAACTACAAGTGTTTTATCCAATACGATTTCAATCACCATTTTGGAATGATTTTATTCAAAAAGCGTAAAAAATGTTAATTAAAAGAGTAGAAATAAGAGAAAAGGAGTGAAAAGTCTCTACTCTTGTTTATTTGAGCAGAAAAGAATAAAAGAATATTAAAAGTTTATAATAATAATAATAATAATTTAAATTAATAAAAAAATAATATAACTTTTTCATAATTTTAATATTTTATTACATTAAAATTATTTAAATTAAAGTAAAATGAACAAAAATAAACGTAATTCACCCCTCTCTCTCTCTCTCTCTCTGCAATGCCAAAATTTTCATTGCGAATCTCCTTACTGTACTTTCACTACTTTAGTAGAAGACAAAAGCACAAAAGACAAAGAAAAAAACGTGAATTTCACCCTTAAATCACTTTTTTGGAATTTTCATGCAATTTGGCCACATCCAAACAAAGCTCTGTGAAGATTCCTGGTGAAAAGCCTAGAAATAGACATAAATAAAACAACTTGGATTGACGGGAATAGAATCGCACATTCACAGCATATTACATTGGCAACGATGACGAGTTAGCTATTGATGATCATTGATTCTGAAGTTGAGTCTTCTAAGCCACACAGAATGAAGGATCATATGGAACAGATCGAATCGCTTCGGAGGAGAATGTACCTCAAAGTGTCTCCTAATTTGTCCCCCTCTTCTGTGCATTCTTATATATTGCCTCGGTGAAATACCCATCAGAATCTCCTTCAACTTGGGAATGTCCTTCACAGAAACCTCAATTGAAAAAGCGTTCCAATTCCAAACGTCACTGAAGGGAGGGACATAGTGTTCTGAATTGAGCACTGGAACACACCCTTGTATATTGCTTCCACCACTATGGGTCTGGCCACCTCGTACCCACTGGGACAGAGACAGAACTTGCTGTTCATCAGCATCTTGTAGTACGAGACACCCTTTGGAAGATACGTGTGTACCTGAATATCTTCATCCTTGTTTTCCCAGTGCTCAAGAAGAACTGGCCTGATGGGCCCATGAAGCCCACCTGCAAAGAAAGCCAAAACTGAACGTTTAGAGGCAGGTGAGACATGAACGAAACCGTTTATTGAACCAGTTCGGAGGTTAATTTCGGGTAATGAAACATCCTTTGCAGGGTTGAATCGCTCTGATGTGTTGGCATTCCAAAGCACACGAATATAATTTTTTGTACAGGTAAGGTGCGGCTAATGATGTGCTTGGCCCCTAAAGAAAATCAAATTAATTAGACAAATGCTAATCAACATCAGTTAAATTAAAAGATTTTTGTCAAAAATATATAATTAATACAGCATTTTGGATATTGATTAGTAAGACAAAATAATTAATATATGAAATAATTTGTGCTAGTGAGGGGTTGACTACTCACCCAGTCATGGCAAGAAAGCATGAAGTGATCAGCGCCAAGGCTTCGATTCCAATAGCGATATTTAGTAGCAATGAGATTAACATAGTCATTGACATGTTTTCTAAGGGGCCAAAGTCGTGTGAATCGGTTACATAGACGAATTTGACCATCATTACGACGCTAAATGGAAGGAAAAATACGTGTGCTTTTTCAGGATTTCTTGTTCGAAAACGCTCATTCATTTCAATAGCATGGATGAAGTTCCCCTCCGATGAGTATATGCTTCTACATGGTCCGTGATGGAAAACCGGTAGATCCCCTTCTTCGTACACGAATACTTCGAACTGCCTCTCCATTTCTAAATAGCTCCTGTCATATATAGCAATTCATTATATTTGGGAGTGAAATCACAGTGCATAATTGAAATTGGCCTTTACGAAGAGAAGCGCAAATTTGATACTGGATATGGTTAAAGGAGGACAATTAACGGAGAAAATAAAGCCGTGCATTATGTACCTGTGAAATGCCTTAGCATTCAAATACATAGGACCTATTGGAACATAGTCTAGATCTTGTGTTCGATTCCAATTTCTGGCTTCTCTTATGGCAGCTCAAACTTGTGCTAGAAGGGCTTCGGTTCTATCTAACATACTGAACTTTCTTTTCTGCATCTATCACACCTCCTGATTTCAACCCTGCCTTGGAGACATTGTAAACTTCAGTTTCGTTCTACCCAAAAAAGAAGAGTCGTCAACTTCGGTTAAATCTGTCAAATGCTAAGATTTGATTTAAATCATAATTTAATAGTGGAATAGGATCGAATAAAATATTTTTAAAATAAAAGCTAATATTAAGTTTTGAATAACACACCTGTCAATATTCAAATTATATAAAATTTAATATACTAATCATGAAAAAAAAATATGTTTTTTCATTTGACACTAACGTGTGTATAACAACAAAATATTTACGTGAAAGATGCATGAAATGATAAACTTGCATGACGTAGATGAAGGGAAAATCCCAAAATTAGAAAGCACGTGAGTGCATGCTTGTTGACAAATATTAGTTGTCACTTCAATCCACTTCTTTGCACTGTAAAGATTCTAAGATTTGGCTGTATTTTGAAAAAAAGAATTACGTGAAATCAATATAAACCTGTCATTATATTTATGAATATATCTATGTAGATAAACCAAAGATTTCCTTACCTTATTTGGAAGAGAAGTTTGAGAGAAGAATGAGAAACTTTGTAGTTAAATAAATATATTTAAAATTAATATTTTTAAATAAAAATATAAATTAATATATTAATATAAGTTTAATATATTTATTATTATAAATAAAATATAATTTTTTATTTAAATTAAAATATATGTCTTTCTTTTCTTTTTCCTCCCAAACCTCTGTACTTAAAGTGAAAACTTAATTCTTCTTTTGAACAGGGGTTATAGAGTTAGCTCTAGTCACCCATTATTGCTCTTCTGAAAAAAGAATTATGCATGTTTGGTATTCGCATTTGATAAATATTTTTCTTTCAAATCTCTTCGAAAAATTAATAAAAAACGATTTTTTTCAAATAAGTTAATTCAAAATCATTCAGTGACAAATTAAACGAAAATGAATGGCATTATTATATAATTACAATTTGTATTCACTTCCTTTTGAACTATATAATTAGTTCATTTAATATTGCATTACTTAACGTCCGTAAGGGATCCTTTCTAATTATTCCACCCCGTGGTTGACTAAAAGAAATTATAATAAAATTTAAAAATATTTTTTTATTGATTTTAGTTCTTACTATAAGTTTAATTTTTTAAAAAAGTTTCTATGTAATATACATCTATTCATATCACATTATTATTATTCAAATAATGTGATATACTTAAATGATTATCACTTTATGACTTAATAATAATTAGTAAAAGTTAAAATTACCAAAAAATTTAAAATATTAAGATTAAATTTTAATCATATTTACATGATGTAAAAAGATATTCTAGCTAAAGAAAATCGCCTAATAAAAAAACTGAGCTCTTACAAAATGATGAAGTGTTTCTATGGCCGGAAGAGGATTTTTTTTATTAATATCATAATAAAAGTTAACTTTAAATGAAAATAAACTCAAAATATAATAATTTTTTTTGGGAAAGAATTAAAATATATTATATAATAAATTAAAGAGATAAAATTTTAAAAGAAATTGAAATTTTAAAAATAAGATTAAATTTTAAAAATTGCTCAATCCAAAATAAATTACATAACATAATCAGTAAAATATTTTTTTTTAAATTACTCTCATTTAATATAATTTTTAAAATTACTATTGTCTAAAAATGTAAATTTAAGTTTAATATATAGAAATTGATAAATAGGGTAACTTTTTTTAAAAAAATATTTCAAACTTTTATTTTTGCAAACCTTCCATCCTCTTTGTATCTTCACACTTGACATTTCAAGGTCATTGGCATATATTTATAAGGTTTTCGTTTTCTAGTAGCTAAATAATATCACAATAATGAATAGATTTTTAAGAAAATAAAAAATATATCTGTGAGGAGATGTTTATTAATTTCCTATAAACACTAGTTTTAAAATAATGTAAAAGTTGAAAGTTCAAAAAATAATTAATTAATTAATAATATTTAATAAATTTAATTGTTAGATTGCATACAATGATCTGAAAAGAACCTAAAAGAACAAATTATGAAACAATAATGATGATAAAACTAAAACCACAAAGTATTGTATGAAGTAACGTTTTAGAAAAAGAAGAAACGTTACAAAATGTTACGAGCAATTAAAACGTTTAAGATTGCCCATTTGCATACGCTGAACATCATACACGCTTTGGTCCTTATTGCGAAACCCTAATCACCCCTAACCTTGAAACTATCAACAACTTCCTCTGTGGATTCTCTTTCCATTATAAATAGGTTTTTCCTGTTTTTTTTTATCCTTTTTTTTAATATTTATTTACCCACTGTTAACCCTTTTAATTTCATTACTATTTTCTTCTCTTACTTTAAGTCAGTCATCATTCTTTACAAAGGAAGAAACTGCTAAGATTATCCTAATTTTTTTAATGGCCGTTTTTGCTACTCAGCCTAAGTATGGTTATAATACTTTCAAATGCTACGCTATCATAGAGTGAAAAAAGAAAAAAGAGGTAACAAAGGAAGAAAAGGCAAAGGAAGGAGTTTTCTTCCTTTGTTTTGTCTAACTACACGAGACTTCACTCTACCAACAACAAATAAGCAAAGAATATTTAAATTGTTTGAAGTTGTAAAGGGCTTTTATATGTATGTTGTAATGGGTTTTTTTTTTTTTTTGAAGTATTATAATATTACTCTTGAAGTGTTATACTAATTTCAAACCTTGAATCTCATCATAATTGGAAAAAAAAATCCATGGTCATTTTCTTGAAAAAAGCAGTAAGAAAAGTTATGTAGTACAAGAGTGAAGATTCATTCATCCTTATTTTAAATTAAAAATAAACTTAATTAATTTTATTTCGGGTATAAATATCCTTCACTTGTACACTTGAGAAGCTTTTTCATTTTATAAAAGCCTTATCATTTTCTCTTACGATTTGTTAGAAGGAAATGAGAAGAAGAAAACTGACAAGAACGTTTAGCTGTGGCAGGGAAGTGCACGCAGAATGTCAGGCTCGTCATTTGCATTATTCTCCTATGATAATTGATCTCAAATTAGTCCTTCACGACTTTTGTTTTTGCATATCTAAGGAACCGTGTAGTTTCCAAAATTACTTTTTATTCTTATTTTTTATTTTTAATGATAAAACTATTATTTTATTTTCATTCTATTTTTACAAATCTATACAAAAAATATTAGAAATTTTTTAATTTTTACTGTTTTCTGTACAAACCTTTTAAAAAACAAAATAAAAATAAAATATTTCTAAACCAAACATGCCCTAAGACTTCCATTCAAGTTTTTTCAACCCTTTTAAGCGTAGCACCACAACCCCTTAGGCTGCTGAAATTTAGGCGACAACCTTTGGAGGGTGCTTATATTACATATTCCAAAGAGCAGTCAACAACATTGCTACATCGGAGGGATAACTTCTAGATTACAAAAAAGTAACAACGTGCTACACTGGGTGAAAAGCACTAGTTCCTCTGATCAACTAAAGACGTGTGGAGGCCATTTCCTTCCCAGCTTTACCTCATTCCTCCTTTTAGAAGTTGACAGTGGAAATAAATATGATAATCTTGTCCACTAAAATACACAAGAAGGACAAGTACCTAAATTCATCAGTGCATTAAAAGCTGGAAATCATCATCATTATTCACCACTTTATAATCATATCCAAGTCTGTCGGCACGATCATGGAATTCATCCATCTCATTTCTGGGTACCTGTATTCCTACTAGTACGTTTGCTCCAGTTTCACCCTGTTGGCATTAGATATGCATTGGTCAAAGGAATGAGAGAAAATGCATCATAAAACCTTCATGCAGTGTGTTTGATTAAGGAATAGAAAGTAAAAAATTCCCACCTCCCCTCGATAATGGAATAAACTAATATTCCAACGTGGACTGAAGGAGTCCAAGAATTTCATCAAAGCACCAGGTCTTTCTGGAAAGGTAAAACGACAAAGAACCTCGTTCTGAATATTTGATCGGCCTCCCATCTGAAATGTGTGTTCAAAATGAAGTTAACATAGTAAGACAATACAACCACAGTTGATCAGTTATTCACTTGTGAGAGTTGCATGTATAAAAAGATTATTGCAAGAAGACAAGACAAACAAATCAAATAATGCGGCTTAGTCATGTGGTGTTACTTAATTTTCAACATATTAGCTTAATTTGGACTCGAATCATCAGAAAAATCCAATATATCTAACATCAATATTTGCATAGTTTGGAATTTGTGATAGTGTTGAAAAAGGGTAAAGAAAATAATAAACTTCACTAAGAAGGGAATTCATTTGGCCATCGTACCAGGTAACGCAAGTGGTCTTTCACCAAGTCACTTTCCGTGAGATTGTAAGTTTTAAGCTGAGAAGATTCGATCCTCTCTTGCATGGTTCTTAATTCTGAGACTGTGTGAACCCCAACACTGCATACAAGTATAATTGATGATAAATGATGGGCCTCAGAAGTAACACTTGTTGTCAACAGATATTTGCAATAGAGAAAATGAAAGTCATTGAAACCAAATAAATTGGGACACAGAGATGTCAATATTTCGGGAACATATTGATTTTCAAAAAAAAAATGATCAATAAAAGATAAAAGAGGAATGATCAGGCATTTATGATCTTACCTGTAAAGGACAACAGCCTTCTCATTGGAGTTATATCTGTATTTGAATTCTGTGATATTTATCTGCCCCACCTGTCAAGCCAGAATAAAATGAGCAAAGATGTGAAGAACAACAGTGTTTTAGAAAAGATGCAAGTCAGAGTAGCAAAGACATACCAATTGACAGAACTGTTTGAAACTGCCAGGCTCCTCTGGCAAAACAGTTGCCAGCACAGCCTCTTGTTTACGACCGACATTAGCAAGCTCAGTTACAACCCTAAGCTTATCAAAATTCATGTTTGCCCCACTGGTTATTACTACAATATTTCCCCCTTGGAGCCCGTAATACTTGCAGTAAGCCTCAGCTCCAGCAAGTGCAAGAGCACCTGCTGGTTCTAATATGTTCCTTTTCTCCTCAAACATATCCTGCAATAGTTTTATTGTTGTCATATCCCAAAAGTTTCAGTCATCCAGAATCTCTTGTGCATTTTATTAAGTGTACAAGACAATCAAAGGTCTATGTAGAAAATTAAGTTCCTAATTCTGATTGGTACAAACAGAGGAGCGAGTCTGGACCAATACAAACTCATCAATTGAATAGCCTATGCACTGAGTGACAGAGAATGTATACAAAAGAACAGACACCTCTAAAAGTAAGGGTAAAATTAACATCCAAATTCATCTAATTATAGCAAATGCCTCCAATAATCATCACCCAGTGGCAATAAATGGAAACCTGATAAAAATTAATCTAGTATTAAGTATCTCTTTATCGGGTTCTTCCAACTACTGCCACCATTCTCCAATCCCCTTCACCCAACCCCAAACAAGACACAAAGAAAAAAAAAACATTACCGAATATGGATTAAAAAATGTATTTAGTAACTCTTTAATTACACAAAAATTAGAAACAGTTGAAAAAATATTGTAGATATTATATGCAAAGCATCCACCAACTACAAATTTGAAATGTAATGTTACTTGAAGACTTGGGTTCATAAGTCATCAAGCAAATTTCAAGTATTAACTAATTCAAATAAATTACAAATTTCTGATCAACTGCAAACATTAGATGCCAATGAAAATCTCATCTAGCATCAGAACAATTAACCTGATCAAAACATCTTTACACTTCTCATGAATAGTGAATATATATTTACTTTGTTTGACAAGATACAATGAATCTTTCAACATTTGCACAAAAGATACTAGAGAAGTACACATATCATATAGGAAGTTAAAATATATATCTGGAAGTGGAAAGTATACAAAACATCAGAGATTTAGAATGCAAACTTTCATAAGCAAAAGGCCATCTCACCTTTATTGATGCACAAATTGAATCACGGCCTACAAGAACAACACCATCTATCAACTCCTTGCATAAGCGAAAAGTTTCTTCACCAACCTCTTTAACAGCTACACCATCTGCAAATCTTCCTACCTGGTCCAAAATCACTCTTTGACCATGATGGAGCGACAATGCCATTGCATTTGCATCAGTGGGCTCCACCCCAATAATCTTCACCTGCACATTCCCAATAAATGTCAATAAACATTTCTCTAAATGAAGACATAAAATGAAAAAATAAACATTAACATAACATCGTGAAAACCTGTGGAGAAACCCTCTTCACATAAGCAGCAATGCCAGCAATGAGACCGCCACCTCCCACAGGCACAAAGATTGCATGCATTGGACCCTGCATTTGGCGCACAATTTCCATCCCAACTGTTCCCTGACCCATGATGACATCAGGATGATCGAAAGGAGGTATGAATGTACGTCCCTCCTCTTTTGCACGCTTCTTAGCATATGCTTGTGCTTCATCGTAGGAATCCCCAACAAGGACAACAGTAGCACCCAGCGCCTCCACGGATTTCCACTGCAAAATTACAAGAAATAAAAAACACATAACTTAATTGACCACATTTTTTTTTCTTGGAGATATAAGAATGAAACAAGCAAGCAAGCAAAAGTTAACATATAAATAAAAAGACACCTTGATTTCCGGAGTGGTAACAGGCATGGCAATCACAGCACTACAGTTCAATCTCTTGGCAGCTAATGCAACTCCTTGAGCATGATTTCCTGCAGACGAGCATATAACCCCCTTTTCTAACTGTTCGCTTGAAAGTTTTGCCATCATATTATAAGCTCCACGAAGCTTAAATGAGAAAACCTACAATTAACAACAACCCCCAATTTCAGATACTCATTCAACAATACACACCTATGTTATTTCTTCATGTTTCAGTAAACCAGACTGTATCTCAAACTATAGAGTCCATTATGACAAAATCCGAGGAAGTGTATTAAGCCCGCGTCATTATTTAAAACTAAAAAACAAAATGGGAAAATACAGATACCAAGGCAAAAAAAATACTAAGTGATTGATTGAGCAGAGTTCCTTCCATTTCAAGCAAAACCAGAGTCATTTACGTTACTCAAATATTTTATTAACACAAAAAAAAAATCATCATATTCATTTTTATTTTAAAAAAACAATAATTTAAAATAATTCAAATAAACAAGTATACTCACTAATTACTACCATTGCACATAAAAATCAAAATTTGATTTGACCCAGATAAAAGAAAGGTGGTGGGAACTTACAGGCTGCAAATCCTCCCTCTTGAGCCAAAGATTAACGCGGAGTCTTTTAGATAGCTTTGGCGCCAATTGAAGAGGAGACTCAATGGCCACGTCATACACCTTGGAAGACAGTATATTAGTCAAATAACCCATCGCATTGATGACGCCCTCGCCGGTGTCGGAACGGGTCCGGTCGGGAACGGCTCCGACGTATCCGGGTGGGTACTGAAGGGAATCCGGCGAAACCCTGGGGCGAGGAGGAGACACTGGCAAGGGATCTTCCACGACGGCGGCGGAAGTGTGCGCTACCTCCGGCGGCTTTGAAAGCGTGGCGGCGATGAAGGGCTTAGGGTTGGGATGGAGCTGAAGAGGGCTACGCACCATTTTGCGAAAAGGGTGGCGGCGGAGAAGGGGTGGGTAGTTAGGGGTGAATCGCAACGCTTCCATGGTGCTGTGGGGGGAAGTCGTTTGTTTGGACAAATATAACAAGTTGAACTCGTTGTGGTGTAATATATATATATATATATATATATATATATATATATATATATATATATATATATATATGTGTGTGTTAATACAAATAAAAAAAAAAATTTACGTAATAAATAAATAGGAGCTTATTTTTTATTATTATGTGTCGTTTGTTTAGGACTGGAGTTTGAAAGAAGAGAAAATGAGTATGAACAGTGTTATGTTTGTCTATGAATAATGTAATATAATATGTGATCCTATCAGGTTCCTCCTGCCCCACACTTCTATAATAAAACAATAGACGATGGAATCATGGGTTTGTGAAATAGAGTGACAGTAGTATCAATCAGATGATAATAATGTTATATCATTGTTTAAGAATATTTACTTAAATGCACTGATTCACCCTAAAGTTATCTCAGATTATTATATAAATAAAATTTCTTAATTTTTTATAATTAATATAACAATTATATTAATAGTATATTATAATTATTAAACATGAGCATTGCGCAGATTCTTAATTAAAATAAAAATAAATAAATTTTAAAATATAAAATAATTTTAAATAATTATTTATCAATTTAATAATCATAGAATTAATAAAATTAAGATAATATTTTATATTTTTAAAATAATAAATTAAGATAATAATAGAATTAATAATATATTCCATCTTAAAAAAATACTAATAAATAAATAAGTAAATTTTTAATTTATTTTTAATACATATTATTAGTTATTTTAAAATAAATTATAATAAATAATATCATATATAATAATTATAATAAATTTTAAATGATAAATAAATATCAACATATTTAAAAAATTAATATTATCACATAAAATTTTTTAAATTTTTTTGAATTAATTAAAATTTTTTAATAATGATGTGAAAAAATATTTTATTTACTACTTAAAAAGTATATTAACTTTTTTATGATTGTGAGAAATAAATTAATTTACAAAATTATGATACATAATAAATTAATAATAATATAATATATTTTTAATATTCAATAAAATTAAAATGTTAAACTAAAAGAAAGATATTAATTAAGTAAAATATAAATAATATATATATATATATATACATTTTTTTATTACAGTCATACTTTTATAAAAAATGATAAGAATAATATTTTTAATAGTAATACATAAAAAAAAAACTATATAATATGTCTGCAAATTAAAATATATTATTTTTAATTGTTATATAAACAAATTTATTTAAAAATATATCATGCATTGGACTAGTACTTTATTTGAACTATGTATTTCCCATTATAAAATTCATGTTCCCACGATATTAGTATTTCACTTCATTGGTGACTATGACTCTGACCTAAGTTATCTATCAATCAACTCTAATATAAATATGTATTAAATTTTATTTTTAAAATAAAAATCACACATACTCTTAATTTTATTTTTTTTCAGTTATACAAATTTAATCATCTCATTTTTTGCTGTTGCTTTTATCTTTAAGGTATGCTCTTGTATAAATATAAAAACATACAAGTTTTATCAATTGAATGAGTTTATCCATTAATCTTTTATAACTTGCACGTTTTCTCCAATTACTTTGGGGGAAAAACTATAACTTTCAAATAAGTTAACCAAACATGTATTAAATATTTCCTTCAACGGGCGTTACACGTTTTCTATAATTTATGTAATAAGGGGCAAAGTTGGATAGAAAAAGCAATTAGGAGATAGTTTGTGACTTTGTGAGGTTTTTTTTTTTTTTTTCAATCATAGTTTTTTACTTAAAATTACATATATTTTTCAGAGAACTAAAAGTAGTTTATTTACTCAATTTTTCATTTAAATTTATTTTTTACATAAATAAATTTACTTACTTTAATATAATCGATATTATAATAAGCATGTATATTTATTTTTAATAAAAAATCATATAAATAATGAATTTATTAGATAACAAATAAGAAGAAAAAAAGTCAGCATCCATGTTTACTATAATATTAATTATATTAAGTAAATAAGTATATTTATGCAAAAGATTATTACTTTTAGTTATTTATCTTAAAATAAAAGTTAAATAAAAAAAACTATATATATATATATATAAACACATGCTGTTGTCATAAACATGCATATTTGCCCCATCTTATTACTTAAATTATAGAAAACGTGTAATGGGAAATATTTAATACATCTTTCATTAACTTATTTGAAAATTATAGTTTTGCCCAATGTAAAACGTGTAAGTCTCGCGCACGAGACTTCTTGTGCTCCATTGTTATATTTTTTTTAAAAATAAAAAAATTAAATAAGAAAATTGTTTTAAAAATTTATATTTTAATAAATAATTTTTGAAAAACAATAAAAAAAACCTACCATAGTATATAATTATTTTATTTTCTGTATTTTAAATAAAAGGGAAAGTAAATGAAAATAAATACTAACAGTTTTTTTTTTTAAACTTCTTTTTACTTTATTTTAGTTAGGTAAAACCTTGTCAAATAAGATCTTGAGATGCTGGATTTTTAAACTATGACAAGTTTAAAAAGATTTTCTAAACAAATAAAAGGTTTGAACAATATCTTGGGAACAGGAATTAATTTGGATGCATCAACATAAAGAAAGAATTTCATTGTTATTTAATATACTTCCTATATTATTATATATTGTTGTGCAAAACAAAATTAATGTCAGTGCCAGATATATTAACAAATAATTTTTATAAAATAAAAAAATATAATTGAATAACAACAAGTTTTATATACATATTCAAAATTAAGTCATGTAAATTACATGCGCATTTATTTATTTACTTTATACAGTCTAGCCTGCAGGTCAAGCTTTTAAATTTTAAATATTTAGCTGACGCGTTGAAGGTTGTTAGACAAATGTGTACTAATTAATATGTGACAACTGTTTAATGATCTAACTCCATGGCCTCACACTGTTTTACGTCAACAAGACAAATGTTTAATGGTTCTTTAATCGTTGGTGACAGAGACCCCCAAAAAATAATTACATCTTTAGTTTAATAAATTTTACTTATTAACAATTCAAGTTATTAAATGATAGGTTATTTTAAAAATATACTTTATTAGGAGAGTGGATATATTCCTTCACTTAGGGTCATTTTCTAGATATCAAATGAATGGTTAGAAATCTTTAATTTCTAAAAATATTGTATAGACTTGGAAGAGGTGGAACAATCACATAGTGTCTAAAATGCTAAATGATTGGGAGCATTGGTGAGAAAAGCAGAGGAAAATATTTGTTTGATGAAGTCAAGTAAATGGGTAAAGACAACAAATGTAGAAGTTTCTCAATTGCAGTTTGAGATGATACTTTAATTTTGGGAGAAGGGACATATAAGAATGCACAAACAATGAAAGGGTTTCTCAAATGCTTTGAGTTGGTTTCAGGTTTCAAGGTTAACTTCATTACAAGTCACTTACTTAATGAAACTCAATGTTTTAACAAGAACCCTAAATCATAAAATGATGAAGTTCCCTTTTGTACATCTGAAAATTCCGGTAGATCTAAATTCAACAAGTTCCTCAACTTGGAAACTCTTTGTGAATAAGATGAGAAAAAAAGTTGTTCTGCAAAGACACTACTCTATAATTTTAAAGTAAAAGATATCTATTTAAAAAAAAAGTTTTCATAATTTTTTATAATTTTTCATCTTCTGTTTGATAATTAATCTTTGGCTTAAATGAAGATTTTGTCTCTAAAAAATTTGTAATATTCTTCTTCTATCCAAATTAAACCCTAAGCACCTGTTTGTTTCTTTTTTAGTTTTTAATTTTTGAAAAAAAAATATTTTTAAATAATTTTTAAAAATTATTTTTAAGATAAAATGAAAATAAAGCTTATTTATTAGTTTAGTTTTCAAAACTGTTTTAAAATGAAAAAATAAAAAAAAAACTTACATCAAAACTATTTTTGTTTTTAGTTTTAAAAATAAAAAATAAAAAATAAAAATAATTTTTTAAAATTTAGATTCACAAACAAATTATTGTTATTTTTTATTTTTTTAAAAAGAAAATTTTATTTAAAATAATTTATAAATTTTTTTTAGTCTTTTGATTTATTTTTATTTAATTTTTAATATTAATTTAATATCTTGTTTTATTATTTATTTACGTAACATCCGAGTTGATTGACCAAGATATAATATAAATGAGATGTCATTTATTCATCACATTTTTCATATATTCGAATGAAAATTTAGTTTACGAAGTATCTTATTAAAAATTATTTAAAGATATATGAAAATTAAAGATTATTTTATTAACTTAAATTTATTTTTAATAACTTTTTAAAATAAATAAATAATAATCAATATATTATTAAAAATACTAGAAAATTTTAAAATGTGACTTATGAAATAAATAAAAGAAAATATAGTGTAAATTTATATCCATTATTAACTTAATAAGCATATATCTAACATCAATGTACTGAATACTTGATAACATGTGAATCATGAAATTTTCTATTTGAAAACATGATAGCTAGGAATGTAGGGGATGGCCCCTCCATTGTTTTGTCAAAATTAGACCCAAACTTGCCTTTAACATATTCATTTGTGGTGATGGTACTACTTCCAAACAAAAGTAGCATTGGCTTTTCTTTATTTGTGTGTGGTTAGAGAATGGGGATTGAGATTAGGAGACTATAATGTTATAATTTGCTTGATTTAGGATTTGAATTCTGGTGCGTATAACTTGTTAGTTCTCACTGTTGAGCCATTACTGTAAATAAGTATGATTAAGCTTATTAATCAAAATTTTCACGAGATTAACCAGGGTTATTATAGGAATAATTATAAAAAATAGTTACCTAAACTAGAATGTAAAATAATTAAAAGTAAATAAATAAAAAACAAACTGGGTTGGCTTACGATTGAGCTCCACGAAGCTCACTGGGGATTTCCTTTTGTGGTCCTTAATGATCCTAAAACACAGAGTTGAGATTAAGGGACAAGGACTGGGTTGGTGAGTCTTTGAATTTGGGAATCTTCAATCTCCATCTTCTCCCA